TGCATGAGTTATTCTTGAACTGGCAAACAAGGGGTAGATGGTTTATCTCTGCCTTCAAGCACCCCTTCATTTGAGTAGGACCTGAACCTCTCTCATATCTACTCCCAACACAGCTTCTACCCCTGTCATTCTTCCCTCTTTCTTTAATCACTTCTACTGTGAGATATAGATTTTACATCCAGTCACTGCTGAGATCCCCCTACCCAGTGCAGGAAGAAGGATGCTTAAAGAGAAGAACTAAGGTTTGGGGGGATGTATTCAGCCCTGATACTACCAGGGCAAGCAAGAATAATTTAAAACCATGAAATGGTGCTTAATTCCAAAAAATGCTAAGAGAGGAGTCTACAGGGACATCAGAGAGGCCAAAGACCTAGAATGTGTCAGAAATAAAGAAGTGTTGAGGGGATAGCAGGGGTATGAGAACCTAGAACTCTTTTCTCCTTGCTTCGAAGGGCCAGTTTGGAGGGCTGGTGGAAACAACCAAACACCCATCACCATGAAGAAAGACCCAGGAGCAAGGTTCTTGTCAGCCTTTATAGATCTTGTAAACCATACATCACTTCAGGTTTCCAGGCAGTATTCTAAGATCTGGCACTGAGGAAAGATATGAAGTATCTTCATCTAAAATATGTGAATGGTAAATCATTTTTCCTATTTGGACTCTTTCAAGGAAACATAACCTTCACTGTGCAAACATCCAGTCCTAATATTTACTGTACTTCCAGTAGAAGAGATGAATAACATACCACACTATCGATGATATAGGGAGCTTGAGTTTGAATCTTATTGTCATATAGCAGAGACATCCCCCGACATCCTCAGCTTGAGACTATACCCCAGTTCCTATTTCTTTTGCTAGAATTATTTTTTTAAATCCCTTTTGTCCTCCCTAGTAATTGTAAGTTTTACGGCATATTCCTATTTTGATACTAGTTATCTTCCAAGTCTTAACAGTTATATCTGTAGCTTTATTTTATCTTATATAGTATTATAATTAAATAACCATGCTTCCCCCCACCCCCCAACATGCACACACACACACACACACACACACACACACACACACACACACTCACACACATACCGTTTAATTTCCCTCCTCCAGCTGCCAGGCCTGTTTGTCTCAGTCCTCTTCCAACTTTTGGATCCGCTTGAAAGAATAATGGTCTGGGACTAAAGATCTTAAATTTCCCCTTTCAGCAAATTTTGAGATTTCAAAGCATAGGTTGGAGGTTTAAGATTATATGTTCAGTTACACTCAGCCTACTTCTCCCTTCTTTCCTTATTACAGCAGTTAAACTGGGTACCCTTTTAGATTACAAGTCCCTTGAGAGAAGGAATTAGATGTGCCTTAATCACCTGTTGTCCCCAGAACTGGGACGTAAATAATAGTTACCTGACTGGAGAAGCTGTTCGCCAAGGATATGTAAAATCACTTTATGTCTGACCATACAAGAAATGGTACCTCTTAAGACTCTCTTCAGCCGTTGACAAGAACTCCCTTAACTGGGAATATATTGCTCTAAAGTTCAACAACAACAATAACAAAAATCGATGAGGTTCCTGCATTTCAGTTTACTGAGATCAGGGAGACCTATCTCCTATCGTCAGGTGTTTCTACAGGATCGCTGGAGGATTAAGAATCCTTCTTTCCCTTCTTCACTGTCTCTTGGCCTCTTTCAGCTTTTCTTCCTCATAGCCACTAGAGTGATACACATAATACTCAGATCTGATCGTTCTACACACACACAATTTCTCCATATGCTTCTCCTTCACGTTCAAGGTAAAATTTAGATTTCTTAACCTGGCTTAAAGGTATTTTGGGATCTGGACTCTGGAACCCTAGCTCGTCTTCAATCCCCTCATGCCTGCTGTTCTTCCAGCATTACTGAACTGGAGCTTTCTTACCTGTGCCTTCGCACATGCTCTTCCTCTACCTGCCATGGTCTACTCTTCTCATCTGTGGGGCTGACTTCTATGCTTCCGTTAACCACTGTCCCGACACAAGAAGTCTTCATCTGTTGTCACTCTGCCTACCCGAGAATTATTTCTTTTCCTACAAATCTTACTTAAAACCACACCGCTTCTGTGAAGTCTCCCCTTTCTTCCCAGAAGGATAAGCTGTTCCCTTCCTTTATGCTCCTACACCAATTTAAAGAAACCCCAGCATTTGTAATTGCCATGCGGCTTGTCATTTTGGTCATGTCTGAGTCCTCATAGGCAAGTATGGCCTTTGAGAGACTGGACTTCATATCCTTTTACATTGTAGCCCCAGGATCTTGGGCTGTGCGAGATATATTGGATACAAAAGTATAAGCTCCATGGGAGCAGAGACCTTTTTTTGGTTCATGCTTATATCCTAACATCTAGTGGTATGTCTGGCACATAGTAAGTGTTCAATAAATTTTTTTTTTTTGCGGTACGCGGGCCTCTCACTGTTGTGGCCTCTCCCGTTGCGGAGCACAGGCTCCGGACGCGCAGGCTCAGCGGCCATGGCTCACGGGCCCAGCCGCTCCGCGGCATGTGGGATCTTCCCGGACCGGGACACGAACCCGTGTCCCCTGCATCGGCAGGCGGACTCTCAACCACTGTGCCACCAGGGAAGCCCCCTCAATAAATATTTATTCACTAAATAAATGAAAGATTCAAATATGCTTTATGGAATTGACCCTGAATTTGTGCCCCACTATCGTCTACTCACCCACCCAAATTATTTATTTGCTCAAAATCTCTCATGTCTCAGGTCTCATCCTCCTTCCCAGATAAACAAAGGCCCTGTTGCAAAGCAGCTTAAAATGGGAGGCTGATGAAGAGACGGCTGTGGAAAAGGCTGAAAAAGAGGCATGGAAATAAAAACAATATTGTTATTCTGGTGACTCCAGTTTGAAGTACAGATAACTCCAGAATTGGCCCATTTCTGTAAATGTCACACCTCCCCAGGTTCAGGGATAGAATCTTCCATCAGGGGACTCCACAGTGATCCCTGGGCTCCACAGGGAGCTACTCTCCAGGGAGAGTCCCCTCCCTGACACTGAGTGGGCCATCATAGTGGCAGGAATCAACTTCATGGTACTATTGAGAGGAAAGAAAGAAGGTGTGACAAAGGGGCACAGGAAGTAACCCCCTGAGGGACTTTCAATTTGGAATTGGTTCTCTTTATAACCAGCAGAGAGTAGCCCGCTCATTTTTCCCATCCCATACCCCAACCTCAAGTGACTTCACTGTATACTAGGCATTGTTGTAACCACTTAACATGTAAACTTATTTAATCCCCACAGCAACACTATAAGGTGCATACTTTTATTAGCGCAAATTACAGATAGTAAAATTGAGGCCCAAACAGTTCATTTACTCGCTCACGATGACAGTAAGTGACAGAACCAGTATTCAAATCCAGGCAGTCTCTCTCTAGAACCTTCCATGCTATCGACTAACCTCGTGGCAATGGTAGTTATTAAGAAATGTCATGGATGAAGAAATAAGTCGGAGTCAGAAAGAACGCAAAGGAATAGCATGTATTAACCCCAAAGAGCAATTGTTTTTCCTAATCTGAATTGATCAGGAAAGTCCAATGTCTGGTGGTGCTCTGTGAAGGGAAGAAAAGATTCCATCTCTGTAGATGTGGGTGGGCAGAGACAGTGACATCACAGGCAAACAGCCAATAGGCTGTCTACAGTTGGAAAAAGACCTATTCCTTCTCCCGTCCCACGGTGAGTGTCGGGCTTCTGTGGGGAATGGCCTTTTTGTCTTTTGGAAATGGATGAGACCTTGGAGCACAAGGAAAAATCAGATTCTGGGATTTCTAGGCTCCAGCACAGGGTTTTTTGTTTTTGTTTTTGTTCATGGCCCAAATGTTGGGCCTCCTGGTGGACACTGCTTGTAACTTCTGCATCCTTCTCCCACAGGTCGCCTGGATGTTAGCATAATCCAGAACCTAGATATCTAGAGAAGAACAGAGGGGGAAGCCTTTTTGGAATGTCTTTCAGAATGTTCTGGTATGACCAAGACCCAACATTGGGGCTACAGCTGATCCACTGTTCACTTGCTGCTGGCAGCACCGGAAAAGTTTCCCCGATGAGCGCAGTGTCTCCCAGAGGAAGGAGGGTTTCTTCCTGGCCTTGGAGACATCGTCACACTTCTGTGCTAGCAGTTTATCCACAGCAATTCACTGCCACATCCTCAGGAGACCTAGAATTAAAAAAAAAAAAAAAAAAAAACTTCCTAGAAATAATGTTAAACAGCAGAAAGCCACATCAATGACATTTGAGCTTCAGTTCATCTGTGGTGACTAACATCCCACAATTTCCCTAAAATGCTTTTGTTCCCAAAGGGCTCCTTTATTCAGAGCAGTTACTAGATCACTCAAGAGGGAGATGGCTGCTGGAAGTCCTTACATCAGCATTTGTCCACACCCAGTTCTAACTGGTGGAACCTCTGGTAAGATGAGTTACTACAACACATGAAAATCCTCTCTGAACACCTACTAGATTTTCCTAAATTTGTATACGTTTTGTTGCTCCATTCCCTTCACCACACTTTTTCACTCCCTTAAGAATTAGCCTAAAGGAAAAGAGAGGACATAGGACTATATGGAAAGCATGTAGAGATTGTTCAGCGTTCATGTAAATGAATAACATTAGGCTGGCTAAAGAGATTAGAGTGCTTCTAGAGTGGAATTCGAGGTTGGGCATAAGGGCAAAATGGAAGAGTTCTAAAAGTGTTCAGAGAAAACACTCAGGGGTCCATGGAAGACTGTTCAATTTACCATAATAGCCTAGTAAAAATTCAAAAGATGCAAACTCACCATGTCTAAAAGGATATATTGTATAAGAAAAATTAGAAAATTCATACAGGGAAACAACGGCCATGCTAATTCTTCAAGAGAACAGCATAAACAATTATGTGACCCGGATAAACGAAACTATCACATTCCATCAAGTCCAAGAGGCTTTTCATTCCTTTCTGAAGCAGTGAGGTAGGAGGGTGTGGTCTCTGGCCAGGAAGTAGATGAAACCTGTTGGTTTCAGAGATTAAATTCATCCCAGGAGCAGACAGCCTTCTTCATCTGACGCTGCCATGAGCAACAGGCTTCTCTGCTGTTTTGTCCTTTTTCTCCTCAGAGTAGGTGAGTCCTGGGCACAGGTAAGGAACCCCTGTCACTGGCTTCCCAGGCTCCAACTACAGAATGTTTCCTCCTGTCTTTATGTGATCCCTGCTTTATCTCTCACAGACCTCAAGGATGCTGTAGTCACACAGTTCCCAAGACACAAGGTCTCGAAGACAGGAAAGGAATTAACTCTACAGTGTTCACAAAAACAGAGTCATTATTCAATGTACTGGTATCGCCAAGACCCAGGATTTGGACTGCGGCTGATCTATTACTCAACTAATACCAACACCACTGAGAAAGGAGATGTCCCTGAGGGGTATCGTGTCTCTCGAAATGAGTTTGAATATTTCCCCCTGACCCTGAAGTCTGCCAGCACCAACCAGACATCTGTGTACTTCTGTGCCAGCAGTGAATCCACAGTGCTGCAAGGCTGCTTCCTCTCTGCACAAAAAGAGGGGCAAACCAAAGAGTGAGGGGATGCTGTCCTCAAGATTCCTGACCCCAACTAAAAGTTTTTTTCAAAAGCCTGCCCTGAAGCCCTGCCCTAACTTTACTATTCTTTACTTCCCTGTTCCCATTCTTGTCCCTCTAACACCCTTCCTATTGTAATCAAAATCTTTGCTTCTGGGGCTTCCCTGGTGGCACAGTGGTTGAGAGTCCACCTGCCGATGCAGGGTTCACGGGTTCGTGCCGCAGTCCGGGAAGATCCCACATGCCGCAGAGCGTCTGGGCCCATGAGCCATGGCCGCTGAGCCTGCGCGTCCGGAGCCTGTGCTCCGCAACGGGAGAGGCCACAACAGTGAGAGGCCTGAGTACCACACACACACAAAAAAATTCTTTGGGATAAGGAACAAAATTGTTTTAGTCCCTGAGTTGAGAAAAGGGATAAAAAAAAAAAAAATGAGACAGAACAGCAGTCAAAGGATGCAGTGAGGTTTGAGAGAACTTTTCCAAAGAGAATAAAATTAGTTGCAGAGGGAAAGCAGTATATAATTAGCCTTGTCCTTATGAATTTTGAGTAACCTAACATGGAAATAGTTTATTACCAGTTGATTAATTATTGGGGGAGAAAGCACAATCTTTTGAAATTCAAATGAGTCAGAAAACCGACACCTTCAAGGTGGGGCCTCAGAAAAACAACACATATTAAGGTCCAGTTTATATAATGATATATAATGTGATATTGTTGTTATCAGCAAATTTGTGAAAATTTCCTGGAGAAGAAATTTGGGATAATCTGGGCACTGTTCTAATCTTTCTTGTGAATTGACCTACCCTTCCACAATGAGCCAACAGGGATCGTGTCAGGGTAACAAATATTAATGAGTGAAGCAGAACTGGCTTGCCACCTGCTGCCGTAGATGGAGAAAGCGATAAAAAAAATAAGAGGAGGAGAAAAAAGGTACTTTCTTAAAGAGAGAGAAGAATTCTTAAAATAGTATTAGTCTCTTCTGTTTCCCTCTCTGTTACCAAACCAGACTTGGGTCCACTTGCCCTCATGCAGTTAAAGTCGATATACTGACATCAGGTTGTGTTGAAGGAAAGTGCAGCATTTATTGCAGGTGCCAAGCAAGGAGGCCAGGTAGCTAGTGCTTAAAGGCCTGAACTCCCGATGGCTTTCAGGGAAAGATTTTTAAAGACGGCGTGAGGGAGGGGGGTTGTGGACATCACATCAGCTCATGGACATCCTTCTGATTGGTTGGTGGTGAGGTAATTGGGAGTCATCACCATCAACCTTCTGGTTCCAACCAGTCTGGGGTCTACGTGCTTGTGGGCAGCAAACAGATAATTTCTTCCCCCTGAAGGGAGTTTCAGTCTCTGTAAAGCAGCTCAAAGCAGCTCAGAAGATTATAGCCCTTTGGGAGGAACTAAAATCCTTGACATTGTTTAATGGCTAAACTATCAATATTATTATTTTGTCTTGTTTCACTCTTTTCCTTTGCTTCTGCATATTCTTACTTCTCTGACCAAATTTATTCTTTGGAACTCGGAGAAGGCCTAGGAGGCTAAGTTTTTCTATAAACAAGAGGCAGGCAGAGGACATGGGCAGGGGTTCGGGGGTCTATCCTGGGAAGGCCCCATAGGGTCCTGCTTGTTTTCATCTCTGTAAGGTAGTTGCTATCCATTATTCCAAGATGGGGACAGGGGCACAAGAATCCCACCTGGTAATTAATGAATCCTAGATCTGTACTCTCCACCCTGATGCCTAATTTGAACTTAAATCCATTCAGGACACGAACTGAACACTTCACCCTGCAGGTTAAACACAACATGTCATCTTTGCCTCTCAAGCTACCCTTCTGGTTTCCTGATTTGATGAAGAAGAAAGTATGAGTTATTTACATGCACAAGATTGAAAACAGAATTATACTAAATTTCTCTTCCTCCTTTACCCTGGACATGATATATATGTGTATATATATGTATATACATATACATATATCCCCATATCTCTTCCCTCTTGCGTCTCCCTCCCCCCCTCCCTATCCCACCCCTCTAGGTGGACACAAAGCACAGGGATGTTATCTCCGTGCTATGCGGCTGCTTCCCACTAGCTATCTATTTTACATTTGGTAGTGTATATATGTCCATGCCACTCTCTCACTTCGTCCCAGCCTACTCTTCTCCCTCCCCGTGTCCTCAAGTCCATTCTCTACATCTATATCTTTATTCCTGTCCTAGGTTCATCAGAACCATTTTTCTTTTTTTTTTTTTAGATTCCATATATATGCGTTAGCAATACGGTATTTATTTTTCTCTTTCTGACTTACTTCACTCTGTATGACAGACTCTAGGTCCGTTCACCTCCCTACAAATAACTCAATTTCGTTTCTTTTTATGGCTGAGTAATATTCCACTGTGTATTGAGCTATAAAATCTTTATGGTAAAAAGACTTGTCTTTCCTTCATTTCTTCCCCAGTAGCTTCCTTGGGGCATGACATACAAGTTCAATGAATGATCAAACATAATCAATATGTCTTTTATGTTCATGTCTGTATTCCCATAGTCTAAAACAGCATCTGACATGTAACCATTATTCATTATATGTCCTTTAAAGAATGGATAAATAATTCAGCAATGTCTACAATGATTTGTTCCTGCACTTGCTTCCTCTACTCTCCTGAAAAAATTATATTTCTTAAGTTTAACCAGTTTCTGGCCTTACCTTCCTTTATCTGGCTAAGGGTCCCTGATAGGCAGAATAATGACACCCCCCCAACCAACGTCCATGTCCTAGTCCTTGGAACCTGTGAATACGTTGCATGAAAAAAGAGAATTAGGTTTGTAGATGCAACTAAATCTGCTCATCAGTTGACCTCAAGATAGGAAGAGTCACCTGGATTATCCAGGTGGGCCCAATTAAACTCAGGCGTCCTTAAAAGCAGCTGGCGTCAGCGTGATGTGAGGATTCTATCCACTGTTGCTGGCTCTGAAGATGGAGGAAGGGGGCCAAAGGACGTGAGTGGGCTCTAGGAGTTAAAAAAAAAACGGAGAAGTTCTCCCCTAAAGCTCCCAGAAAGGCAACAGCCCTGCACGCTTTGATTTCAACCTAACGAGACCCGTGTCAAACTTCTAACCTATGGTAAGATAGTTCATCTGTGTTGTTCGAAGCCCCTAAGTTTGGATAAGTTGTTACAGCAGGAATAGAAATCGAATACAGAGCCCTACTTCCAAGCAGCTGCAAGGAGGTGGCTGATAAAGAAAGCCGCTGTGCAAGGAGCCTAAGAGGCAAAGGGCTAAGGATGGGAGTTGGAACCAGATGATGCATTTTTAAAGGCAGATGCTACCAGTTTCTGCTCTTGACACACCCCATTTCTGCAAATACCTCATCTCCACAGGGTTAGGGTCAGAATGTTCCAGCTGGGAGCCCCACAGTCGTTGCTAGCCCCAGTGGGGGGACTGTTCTCCTGGGAAGAAGTCCTTCCTTTGGTCTGACAGTCGGTGGCCAGCACAGTGCGCATGGCCTCTGCTAAGGGGCGCAGAGCCACCGGGGTGCTCTGCAGAGGAAGGCAAGGGGGTTGTAACACAGGGAGTCACCCTGCAAATAGCAGGAGGTTGGAACTTTTCCTTGTTACTGAGAATATCGAGAAGTTCATCCACTTTCCAGCTTCATTCCCCTGTAAGGCGACCACACAAACACACTCAGGAACCCAGAGGGAAAGAAGGACAAGGAGATGGAGACTGGGAGAGAGTGAGAAAGGAAGGAAGAAAAGAATGATCTCCCCTTGGTCCTTGAATCTTCCACGGACATCCGAGTCCCTGTGCACCAGCAGTTTATCAATGCAGCCACATCTCCTGCACAAAAACAGCAGACCCAAGGTGTGCAGGGACCTTGCCCTCGTGAGCTCCCCTCACCCACACAAGACCTCCCAGAGCCCTGCCTGCTGGTTATCATCCTTTCCTCTGCTTTTCCCATCTTTGACTTTTAATTGAAGTATAGTTGATTTACAATGTTGTGTTAATTTCAGGTGTACAAAAAAGTGATTCAGTTATATATATTTTCAGATTCCCTTCCATTCTAGTTTATTACAAGATATTGACTATAGTTCCCTGTGCTATACAGTAGGACCTGGTAGTTTATTTTATATATAGTAGTATGTATCTGTTAATCCCAAACTCTTAATTTATCCCTCCCCCTCCCTTTCCCCTTTGGTAACCAGAAGTTTGTTCTCTATCTGTGAGTCTGTTTCTGTTTTTTAAATAAGTTCATTTGTATCATTTTTTTGGATTCCACATGTAAGCGATATCATATGATGTTTGTCTTTCTCTGTCTACTTATTTCACTTAGTGTGATAATCTCTAGGTCCACTCATGTTGCTGCAAATGGCATTATTTCATTCTTTTTATGGCTGAGTAATATTCCACTGTATATATGTACCACATCTTTATCCATTCCTCTGTTGATGGACATTTAGGTTGCTTCCATGTCTTGGCTATTGTAAATAGTGCTACAATGAACATTGAGGTGCATGTAGTTTTTCGAATTATGGTTTTCTCTGGATATATGCCCAGGAGTGGGATTGCTGGATCATATGGTAGCTCTATTTTTAGTTTTTTAAGGAACCATCATACTTTTCTCCATAGTGTCTGTACCAATTTACATTCCCACCAACAGTGCAAGAGGGTTCCCTTTTCTCCACACCCTCTCTAGCATTTATTATTTGTAGAGTTTTGATGATGGTCATTCTGACTGGTGTGAGATGATATCTCATTGTAGTTTTGATTTGCATTTCTCTAATGATTAGTGATGTTGAGCATCCTTTCATGTGTTTGTTGGCAATCTGTATATCTTCTTTGGAGAAATGTCTATTTAGGTCTTCTGCTCGTTTTTTGATTGAGTTGGGTTTTTTTGATACTGAATTGTATGTGCTGTTTGTATATTTTGGAAACTAATCCCTTGTCAGCTGC